GCAGAAAACAGACTCAGCTCCGCTCATGGCAGTCGGATCTTCTGGGAGAAAATTAGGCTCCGTGGTGAAATGACTTCAGCGTTTTTCTGAAGTGCACTGCAGCAATGCGTACACTGAAAAAAAAGTTACGTTCTATAGAGACATACCGTCCGTTCCGGGCTCAGAAACCGAAATTTCCAGGCGCTGGAGCTGTAGTGCCGACTGCTCCAGGTGCTACACCTGGAACTTTCGGCCTGTGAGCCCGGAGCGCGGACGGTATGTCTATATAACCTGTATGTGCGGCTTCGACATCCGAAGTGAACAGCTGATGATACTATTCATCACTCTGCAAGACGTACTGCTTAGTATCCTGCGTGCAGCATTTATTATTTAATCAAATGAATAAGCTGAGTTGCAGGTTCCTATCTAGTAGTGAATACATTACATTTCAAAAATACGAGATGGTCTCAAAGATTTCTTTACTTTACGTACTTTTTTTCGGAGAATTATTGCTATTTAGAGTCTTAAAAAGCACACCAGAGTCAGCGTATAATCAGCATCACGATCAGCTTTTATGATCTGATCCGAAAGCAAGTTTTACTGATGAGCCAACTTACCTGCCATTTTAATTAGGTTCTCACCTTTGGGCATGTGGCTTCGTTGATCCAGTTGTATGTCGATTTCACTTTTCAAATCGACGGAACCTAAACAATTTTTGAAAGAGAGACAGCCAACTCGAAAGCTTCATGGAAAGATCATGTTTAAAGAGAGGGAAAACAGTTACTTTCGAATAATTGCCGAGCACTAACGAAATGAACTCATCTGTAGAAGAGTACCATCGCATGTACCATTTAATTCATTCCTCCAACAAAGTGTCATACGGCAATAACTGCACACCGCAACTATCCATCAGTTTTAGTCGTGGAAACCAATTTCAATGGGTTTGCGATTCTGCGTGCATCAATTTACTTTTGAGTACATATACGTGATTGCACCCGAGTCCCGAGTAAACAGCAGCGTGCATCGCACACACTTGACAGGTATCTAATGATGTCGTTGCATCCCAAGTCCGAAGCCCAACTTTTGTACGTGCCCCAGACTGAAAGTGTTTGATAGAGCGAGCACGATCGATAATGTAAAAAAATGCCAGAGTTACGCATAAAAGATTCTATTATAATTATATCGTTTCAAGTGCACCATTTAAATTATTGAATATCACGACGGAACCATTTAAAAACAAGAAAAAATGAGGTGGGGGGTCTCAGAAGGAATTAAAAAGTCTGAACCAACCCGAAGTTGTGACGGTTTGAGGTTTGCAGTTCAAAAAATGTACCTAATAGCTGGGCAAAAGGATGAATAATGAAACGCTAGACAAGATATGAATCAAAGCACCACGTACTTATACTTTATATAATTTTTCTTCAAAATTTTACGTCAAAAGCTATTGTTACAACATTAATTAGTTCGGAGCCCAACTCCTAAATGAGTTATTTTGATGTAAGTACACTCGACACCGAATAAACGGAGTGCATAACGTACAAACGACGTCACTTGTATTTTACCATTTAACTAACGTTATTTTTCTTCAGATGTCTGATTCGAACTTCGAAAGCTGGACATCAACTTTTCGGATGCGTGATCCGAAAACTTCAGAGATCCATATATGACCTCAACTTCGGGTCCCATGCACGAAGTTTTTTTCTCCGTGTACATGACCTGATCAAACCTAGCCTCCAAATTTTCGAGTTGTCCATACTCTCCCTGCGAAGGTACTCTAATAGAGGGTATCGTGGCAACATGGATACAAGTGCATGTAGGAAATGAAGAAAGCACCGGAGCGCAGGCGCAGGCGAAAATGAATCGGGATCGAGCATGAGGTGGACGTATTTCTGTCAAATGGAACTATGTGCATTATGACGTGAGCCCTGTTGTGCATGTATTCTCATGGGTCCAAGGGCTCATATCTTAATGCACATAGTTCTGTTTGGCAGGAATACGCTCAGGTGTGGACGGAGCTGTGCGACTGAGAGTGGCGAGTGACAGATAATTAGTGACGATCACCAAAGTCAAAGTCAAAGCAATGATCTCTCAAAAGCGGCCGGGCTAACTCGATCAGTCACGGCCGAGCTTCGAATCAAAGCAGTCGATTCCACTCATTCACAATTCCCGCTCGAATTATTACCAGCGATCATATTTTTATTTCCATTCCAGCACCCTCCGTCCAGCGTCCAGTCCTCGGATCCTGGATTCGGAATGGTCAAATGGTAAATGGTAACTGCTCGCCAGTTGCCACGTTGTGCCAAGTATTCCTTATTTTCTAGTGATGTTGCGTATTATTCGCCGTGAAATCTGGCGCTTTGGGCTCTAGGTGCGCGACGAAAGGATTACGATCCTGCACCAAAGCATTGTGTTTGCGCGGACGGACAGGAGCATCTAAAAGTGGACTCCTCACCATCTTCCTCCACCTTTCTCCTTCTTCTTCCTCTCCTTCTTCTTTCTCATCGATTCGAGTCCACGGTGGTGCCAGGCCATCGACTTCCCTCAGACCTTAGAGGCCCGGGACAATCCGCGGTGCATTGCCAAGTGATACAAAGAATCATTCAAATTTTCACTCGACACTAGTTTTCGCAGACTTCGAGTGTCTGGCTTTGCCCATTGCTTTGACGCTCTACCATCGGGGAATGAATAGGTGGCAGCAGGGACTACAACTTCCCTTCATCAAGGTTCTGGGCCTGCAAGAGCTTAAGAACCTCTGAAAAAAGGCCTTCTTGTGCCCTTCCTCGGGAAACGCAGGGATTTTGTTCAAATAAGACTTCAACAATATCTTACTGAGATGATCCGCAAGCGACAATTCTAGCTTTAGTTCAAATCTCGTTTTGGTGATACACCGTAGCAAAAATCACATTTTTACCATTGAAAACTGCTAATATTTTGAGGCTCCTCGTTGAAAACAGCTTTAGTCGATCTCTTTTTATTTCTCGAGGCGGAGTAATAATAAATGATGATACTGCGTCTCAGACAATAAAAAGAGATCACTTGAAGCTGTCTATTGAACCGAGGAACTTCAAAATATTAGCATATTCCTCAATGGTAAAAAATGTTAACTTTGCAACTTTGTATTGCCAAAACAAGCTTCGAACATAAGCTGAATCTTTCACTGGATTGGCTCATATTAAGTTTCCGTTTAGGCCATATTTGAATGAAATCCCTGAGTTCCCCGAAATAAGGACACTTTTTGGCAAGGTTAAATGAGCATGAAGAAGTCATTTGAAAAAGGAAAAAGGGTGAATGAAGAGGAAGAAAGACAATAAAGCACAACGCGAAGGAAGAATAAGGATAAAGTAGATTTTCCGATTCATCTTATTTCTCTTGTTATAACCTTCAACCCATATGCCGTTCTGGATAAAGGGCGAAAAATATTCGTGTTTAGGCTCATGTCTTTGCTAAGTACAGTACTTCCGTAGATTAACTTCTAATCCAGCTGCGGTTTTTAGAAGAGTTAAACAGCGCTCGACTTTTTTGCACAGAGTATTTTATATGTCCGCAACAAACATCTAAACTCAATTTTAGAATTTGTATCTCTTGTCGGTTTGTGAAAACCTTGTACCTCCTGGATTTTACCAGGAGTCAATTAATCCGTTCATTCAACGTGCAGGGTACCTGAACAATTTCATCCGCCGAGAAAGTCAACGTCGCATTGGATCTGTATCCAATTACTATCGCTCCGCACAGAGACACCAAATTACTCAAAACGGCTGCTTCTGGGACAGCTCGTTTCACGCGTTGTTCCCCGGTAACCCTCCCCTTTTCCCGAACCCCCCTCCCGGGAGCTCCATCCAACCTAAGGTTGCCTGCCTTCATATGGGAGTTCGCCTTGCGACCGCGACATCCATGTGCCATTTTGAAGGATTTTTCGCGCATTTGGCAGCAATGATCCAACCTTCTCTGGATCTTCATAAGATGAGACCCTCTTGACCAACCATCTGTGCCCTACTGGCCAGCCATGTTTCAAATTTCATGTGACCTCTCGTAACCACCTTCAGAGAGATTTTGAAGGATCTCTCCACGCGCCGTTTTTCGGAGTGCGTTTGAAAGTACGAGAAACAGCTATTCAGGATAGGATGACATAATTTAGGAGACTTTTCAAATGATGATTCTAATTTTTTAAAATGTGTCCGATTTTTAAAGGAGCAAAATACTTTTTTGAGTTTTCGAAAAGGGTCAACTAAGGGACCACGGGATTACTGTATTGAGTTTTACATCATAATTTCCTTCTCAAATTATGATAATCACCGTTTTATCTGTTCTTTTTTACGGTTGATAGGGTCATTAATGTCAGTAAACAATATAAACAAAAGGATAAAAGCGGAGAATCACTGCTCAGCCATTTTTTAAGCAGAACTACTTTTTATACAACAGCCATCTTTGTAAGAGTTTTCCTCAGGGATGGTGCGAACCCGCTAATACACACGTTACAAGACGGTATTTTATCAACCGGCTTCACATTCCCATTTTCCTCGGGTACCTAAAGACCATGGTGCTTCCTTGCGATTTGCGTTCAGAAGCTTCAGTATGTTGAATATTGCGCATGCGCATAGCATCCTAGTGTGCAGGGGTTGGATGGAACGACCCCTCTTACAAAACGTTCACTTGTGCTGTAGGATCGTTTCTGAAGCGAGAAACTTGAAAAACGCATATTTCCAAAGTAGATTGTGAAGTTAGGAGCGTATTTCAGACTTGCGCTCAGTGTGATTTTGATCTACGGATATAAGATACAACTCCTCTTTCGGGCTAGACACACGTTCAAATGAAGCTTCAAAGTGGTGGCTGTTCAGCCAAGTTAGTGTTGCCATCGACTACCGCATCGATGCGCAACCATAGACTAAACATCCACCACTTTGAAGCTTCACTTTGAACGTGTGTCCAGCTCTTTTTTGCCCTAGCTAAATTTTGCAAGAGGCCTATTAAGCATTGGCTGAATTGTATGGATTTATGTGGATTTTTGGTTTTGAATGTTACAGGAGTGTGTACGAATGCGACAGCGCCCTCTGTGAGCAGCATCAACCGGATCTTGCGGAATAGGGCTGCGGAGAGGGCGGCGGCGGAATTCGCGAGGGCGGCCGGCTACGGGCTCTACCACGCGGCCCATCCCTACGCCTCTTTCCACTGGCCCCCGCCGGGGATCTGGAGTGGCTCGCCGGCGGGCGCGCCTGGCATCATAGCCTCCCAACACGCCTCCCCTGGCGGCACCCCCACGCACCCTCCCGGAATCATCTCGCCCGGGGATCTCATGCCTAGACTCATCGGTAAGCTCTCATTTCAAAATTTTGCAATCTTTATTTAATATTAAAGTCTGAGGATTGGCCTTGAAATTTGTGTGTTAGAAAGTTGGCTGCCCTTTTGGGCCTTATGAGGGCTCCATATTTCGACAAGTCCGCACTCTCCTATTTAACTCAAGTAGATTATGGTTTTTTATGAGCGGGAAGCTTGAATACATTCATCGAAAAACGTCAATATCTTTGTTCGGAATTCATTTAAAAAATTCCTTCGTACGAATCGTGTTCTACGTAAAATTTTGATGAGGAAACATACATCACCATGCCTCGCAGCTTCTCTAGTGGACCATTTTTAATCACGGAAATCAGAACTCTGCTTTTCTTACTTGGGTAAGATTCTAGCACTGAATAATGTCCGTAAGACTCTCTTAAGATGTTTTTTTTTTTTTTTTTTTTTTTTTTTTTTTTTTTTTTACTAACCACCCAGAGAAGATTTTCTGAAAATAACGCACGTTCACCTCTTATGTTCAACCTGAAATCTTCCCTGACGATGATATACCTATAAACCAAGAGAAAAAGTACCGACAGATGACTTTCATCTGGCATAATCCACTTCAGATTAGACAATGGTTGCTTCACGTTGGCATTACATAGATGAAGAGGTTATAAGCGATTCCCCCTGTTGTGAAATCCGTTCAATTCTATTATCCAGAGCCTATAACTTGAGAGAATTTCGGTGCGCACCTGGCAGCCATCCCCAATGGCTAGAAGCGCACACCGGCGCGACCCTGTATCCAGCTTTGGATTGGTGTAATTAACGAGTCAGACTTGCTCGAATCGGTTAGTCTCTATTTGATCCTTCGCGCCTCCATGGAGCCGACGCAGTGACCAGATGGTACTCATCGATCTCATAAAGTTCAATGCAATTATTTCACTTTAAAGTGCTATTTGACAACTTCGGAGCAGGGTCGTGTAAAATTTGACAGCCCGAAATGTTAGGCACGTCAAATTGGTAGCTTCTTCATTTGAAGAGTGCACATTGTTGTCGGATTTTAATTGTGGATTCGTCATTTCCCATCGAGTAGCGTAAAGTGACGCTAAGTTTTTTGGAAATCTGGCGACATGTGTAGGTGTTGCGTCTGTGGTTTCATTGATTTACCGATTCATGGTTTCGATGGGTTTTCATTGTGAGAAGTTGGTGATCGGTGAAAGGCAAAGAGACCGATAAATGCTCGTGATGAGTGCCCCTGGCTCGTAAACAATACCCCCGACCGGTGAATGTTGACGTGGCGCTCTGGTTAAGTCCCGTCCGTTTAGTATGGAGCTTTGAACTTTTGCGCTCGCCGATCCCTCTGAGCACTTTGAATCGTGACATCGTTCTCTTCAATCGCTTTAACCTCTTTCTGCATGCCTCTTAAACTCGTCGTTAGCATCTCAAATTTCCACGTAGAATTGGATTTTTCGATCGTTTTACTCGCAGGCTTAATTGTGTAAGTAAATTGAACACTGGAAAAAAAAAAAACACATTGGATCTAGAGTCCAGACTCTTAAAAACATCGACAAGAAAAAAGTATTCTTGATTCAATCAGAATCTAGCTTAAATGAAGAACCAAGCCTCTTAATTTAAGCGGATTTCGTTTTGATTCAAGTAAATTTCCAATTGAATCAAGAGTATTTTTTCTTGTCAATGTTTTCTAGAGTCTGGACTCTAGATCCGCTGTGTTTTTTTTTCCAGTGAAACGTAATAAAAATTTGAGTGGTTAAGTTGCAAATCAATTAAATAGAAACTATCATGAGTGAGGCATTGAAAGAAAACAGTCAGCACATACGTATCAGCTTTATTGTGGCGAGTTTATATTTTCATAATTTGCGGGTACCAATATTTTGCGAATATAATGATCAAAAATAGGACACTTAATAAAATGTGCATAGAAAATAGTAAGAAAGTATGGAGCGGCGAGGTTAGTTGAGGATATTGTGGACTGTGAACATTTGATACTCGGTATTCTAGAGTATTTTATGTGTACCTAAAAATTGCCGGAATGTTCATAGTTTTTCCTTTTATTGTACGTATAAAATAGGTTGACTGAATAATGATCAACACGCTTGTAACTTAAATACTGTGAGCGACTTGTTGGGAAATGTTCTCTCATTACGCTTTTTGATCTACAAGGATTAATCCTTTGGATGAGCGATTTAATACGCCATGAAAAAAGTAAAATTTCCAAGAAGAAAATCACAGGTCTAAATTTTAAGTTACTAACATCGGCTAGGTTTTTACACTCAAAAAATAAGATAAATTACTTCACGATAAACCACATCCACTACTCCATTATAGTGGGTTTACTCACCTGTGAATAAAACACGGTCTCATCATCGTGGTTTCGCAGTGTCGATGATTCAAACTCCGCCATGTCTCAACTTACGGAACCCTCAAAATTCCTATCCTCGTAAAGAAAAAAAAGTGCCAAGTTTCAAGTCACTTTACATAAAAGCAAGTACCCTGCGATCTACACGACTCACAATATAAGCCGCTGTTCCATGGGGTTGCAGCTTTCCCGAGGAGTACACGGTGTACTCACTTGTAAAATCAAGGTCTCATTATCGTAATTTGTACTGCGGATTATTCCGACGCCCTCTTGTCTCGGCTTACGGGAATGCACTCGAAATTCCTCTCTCGTCCAAAAAAAGTGCCAAGTTTCAAGTCTTTTGCATAAAAGGGAACCATGACTCAAAAGTCGAGCCGCCGCTCCGTAGTACGGGCGTCTGCTTAGGGAGTACGGTGTACTCACTTGTGAATCCACGGTCTCATTATCGTAGCTTTGCATTGTCGATTATTCCGACACCTCCCTGTCTCGGATTGCGGGAAGTAAGTTTTTACACGTGTGGTCGCCCGGTGGCCGTCGGGGCCCGTAACTCGAGCGGACGGGAAAAAACGGGCGACTCTGCCGATCGGATCGCGAGATCTGCCCGTTTTCCGAATTATTATGCCGATTCATTTTGTATTCGCGGTGCCGACTGCATCCGACGATAACTTCGGGGAAATTCGATCGCCGCAAAACACGAGCCAAAGGCGGCGCGCATAATTTAAGGACTACCGGACTTGACGACTCCCGAAGTCCGATCGTTGTCAGATTTCGAGATCAACTCTTCCGATTCCGCCAACAACAGCCGCCGCCCGCGGTCCGAATCGCGACCCTCGACTTGGATTTCAAAACGTAACGGAGAGAAAGGAATGGAAGGCGACGAGCGCATAGGCTATTACACCTTCTGGCGGTTCTTTGCCGATGCCCGATTTCAGTCATGCCGTTACAGATACATAGGAATTGCAAACACTTTGTGACTGTCTCACACTGTGCGAGACTCGCTCAAAGCTTTGGCGCGGTATAAGGGCATAATAACACAGTTGGTAACCACGCTGCTCCATGCTACTGTTTCTAAAAATTCTGCCGGTACAAAAGTTTAGGAGTAGCCTAAAAATATGTAAAACCCACCGGAAAAAAAAGTTACGGGCTACGTAGACATACCGCCCGTTCCGGGCTCAGGGACCGATTGCTCCGGTTGCGCTACGTCCGGAACTTCTGGCCTGAAAGTCCGGAACGCGGAGGTATTTCTACATAGTCTGTAAGTACGGCTTCCTGGGTCGGAATTTTTTAGTGCTCTCACTTCCCCTTTATTAAGTTCATTTCTTGAACGATTGAACATTATCTTCAAATTCTTTTAACTTTTGGACAGATTGTGTAAATACGAGTGGACTTATTTGACTTTAGACATTTTTGTACTTTGGGCTTTTATTTTTGGACATTTCGTCCTATTCCTGAACGAACGATGAATTGAAGGATAAAATTCGCGGTGAGGGATGTTTGGCAAGCGTGCGGCGTGGAAGAGGGAGACTCGGTTTTTGGTGGCCTCGGGGCCGGCGACCCGGTGAGTGGTGCTCCCTCGTAGATTTGACCGGAAGCCGCCGGCCGCCGCCGGGTCCCAAAAAACGTCGTGAAAGTGACGATTCGCAGTTCGAACGGCCCCTCGACCGATTAGCCGCACGCAACCCACCACGCACCTGAGCCGGAAAAAACCCGCGAGACGACGGAGGAGTAAAATGATATCGAACAATGGTCAGAGTCGCTCCATTAATGTAAAGTCAGGCCGATCCCGAGTGATTGTCACATGGAGATATTTCTCCGATTGGGCTCGCCAAGAGGTATTCTGCCGTGCTAAGGAAGAACACCGTAAGAGCCTTCAGACGTTGCCATATTTCCTTCAATAAAAAACCAAGTCAAGGTCCTTGATTGGGTTCCTCCTGGGAGAAGACGCAGAGGGTGCCCTACAAGACGTTATGTGCTGGTTACACGCTCAAATTCCCATCAATTTCCGATCAAATGGTGACTCGTGCGCACCATCTACCATCAAATTTCTGAGGCCTGCAACAATTTGATGGTAGATGATGGAACTGTGGGGCTCATCCTTCATCTGATTTCCACACAACCGTGCTTATTTCATGCTTATTTCAATCAACACGCTGTTTTAATTAATTTTACTCATCAATCTAGATAACTCTCGACCGCCATCTTGGTCATCATTTTGATCAGAATTTGACGGAAATTTGAGCGCGTAACCAGGCCATTTCCGCTGATTGAAGCAGAAATGTTAAGATGCTCAATGCCCCAAGGTTTGTGGTGAGAGTGCAGTGGAGGTTAGGAGTCGTAGAGCGCGAGGGAGTGCTATAAAGCGACCTATATATATGTAAAAAACCAGGTCATTAGAGAAAATTGTCTATTTTTTTTTTAAATTTTCAATTAAGTTCTCAATTTCATCTAAGTATCTGAGAATTTCAAAGAAAAATAAGCTTAACTTCCGTCAAAAATACATGTTTTATCCGGATAAATTTGGCAACTCTGGAATGCTCATACGGCGTTTTTCCTCAGCGCGGCAGTGTTCGGCTCACCTCCGTCAATATCGATCGAGAAAAGTATCGGTTTCCCTTTCGGGGGACTCAAAGGGGTCCCCCGAACACCAAACCCGATGCTTCGAGCTCCTTGAATTAAGTTATGTCTCGCAGCGCAACGCGACACGGCCGGAGAAAATGTCATCTTGGAATGTATGACGAGTTATTTCTTTCGCTCAGTGGAGATGAACCTGCCCGCTTTTAATTTAACCAACTGTTTTCCACTTGCTCCCGCTTTGACTTGCCCCTGATTCCGCCTCACAGCCTTCTCCTGTAACTCGCTTCGCTGCAGCCTATTATTTTGTACCTGCCTGCATCTGATTTACAGATGACACGAGTCTCATCAACGTAAGTCGGTCCACGCCGGCTTCCTAGAATTCCAGATTGAACCTGGATATAATGACTGTGAGCTTATGTTTTAGTCGGGGTACCTGGAAATTCTTCATCGGGAGGAAATATTCAGAGAAATCGTTATTAATTTTTCTGAATTATGATTGCTTTCGACGTGTTAAAAAATCGGTCTGAAAACCAATGCCCAGTTTGACGATATTTTGGAGCGACAAACTGCTCAAAAAGAAAGTTATCAGGCATAATGAGTGCAGAAAATATGAAATCTCGTAAATTACCTACCGTTGGAACTAGCTACTAAATAAATTGACTGCATAATCGGTGTGAAGTCTTTAAATTATTTCACATTATGATCTTCTGTAATCGTCATTTTTCAATAATTAGTTCTATTTTTTATGGGATCGAACATAGTTTGATTTCACTTTATGTGTGTTCCTCCGGCGCAAATTGACAATTCGGGTGATCCTGTTCAAATATCGATTGACAGCTTATGATGATGTCGTTGACTGTCATGCCATACCAGCATAGCTATATTATTCTAAATCGGCGCACTGTTTCATTTGCGAAGCCGTAAGCAGGCTATTCTAATAAAAACTTATCATTTAGAACCTCTTTTCTGTCATTTGCTTAAGCGTAATTAAACTTGTAGGTTGGCCAGGATGAAAGTAAATACGAGGGAAGTGTTCCGATGATTCATGTTGATATATCCTCGGAGACTTAAACGCGAGGTTAGGAAAAATAAACCGCTGCGCTGTGAAAAAAGAAGTACGTACCGTAATGATCCTGCTCTTGCCTTTAATTATAATTCCTCATAATTTTAATAAGACTCTGGTTGTTTTTCTTTTACTTTACCTCGAGTTAGGTGGAGACTGGAATGGATCAGGAAATAAACATATTTTCTTAAAGGCAGACAGCAAGCTGCTGGTATTAAGCTGGGGTATTCATCTTTACTTGCTCATTGTTCCTCCTTCGTTACAACTGGTAAAATAGTCAGTGTACCTTTATCTAACCTTGTTCAATTTCTTCATGTTTCAGATGGAGATTGCAAAGATGACGACAGTATAGGTAGTGGCGATGGCTCAGAACAGCCAAAATTTCGACGGAATCGAACAACTTTCAGCCCGGACCAACTGGACGAACTAGAGAAGGAGTTCGACAAAAGTCATTATCCATGTGTGAGCACAAGAGAAAAGCTAGCTGCCAAAACGAGCCTCTCCGAAGCCCGAGTACAGGTGAGTTTGTTTATAATTCTTGACCAAACTTTACTGTCCAACATCTTTTGCCCTATTTAAAAAATTAGGATTATTATGTAGTTGCAAACTGGTACTTTTTCAGAATTGGCTCTTCCAATAAAATATCGATGACCTAAACGCGAAGCCAAGTATCTTCATTTGCGACGTTGCAGACTCCCTGTCATACTTCATTATTCCTATGGAAAACTAATCAACGTAATTTCTTGACAACTTCTTGATTTATCTTTTATGCTACCAGAATATTATTTAGCAATATCAAGCAATAAAGTTGGGTTGTTTCTCCTCGAAAAATGAAATAGGAGCAGACATTTTTAAACACCGCAACAAAGATATGTGGTTCCGCATTTGGGCCATCGATATGACTAAAACTATGAGAAAATATCTAAAACTTTGAAAAGGGGAGACAACTGCGCAAGGGTCTACATCAACGCAAGTTTATCTACACTTTACAAACCACGCTATGTTGAGAAACTACCAACATCTATCTTAGAGCTTTAAAGATAAGTAATCCGATATTATTTGACTTTCTGCGTAGTTGATAGAAATTTCAAAATTTCGATCAAATTTTCATTTTGCCATTCGCTCTCAAAATGACAAAAAATCATAATCAGATCAAAGAGGGGAAAGGGCGGAGATTGAGAAAACTGGAATGCTCGAATTTAACATTTTATGACTTGGTTCGTAGGGTTTTCTTCTGTTTATTAAAACGGATGAATTACAACAGACTGGTCAATTTAGAAGAAACTGTATTTTTTAGAAAATTCCAACGATGTAAATGCTATGTATTGGTGGTGGCTGATAAGAAACCATACCCTACATGTAGTGGTCGTTTGATAGACGGGCGGGGGATGGAAATATTTAAATCGGAAGTTTCGTCATATCTACAAATCCATGGGTTTTTATGAGATTTATGACAATGAAGAATTTAACGATAAAATTCTCACCGTAAATTTACTTTGATGATTCCTAATCTTTATACCTGGACACAGATTTTCAAATAATAATACCAGATCATGATACGAAAATAGATTAAAGTCAGGAAATAGTAAAGTGCCCAGAAGAAACTACACGGAGAAAAAAACTTCGTGCCTAGGACCCGAAGTTGAGGTCATATGGATCTCTGAAGTTTTATGATCACACATGCGAAAACTTGAGGTGGAGCTGCTGAAGTTCGGGTCAGACATCGAGGCACTTCGGTATGTACCGGAGTCCTTGAAATGCATGTGTGACCCGAACCCTTCGGTATATATCAAAGTACTTCAGATGTCTGACCCGAACTTTGGCAGCTGGACCTCAAGTTTTTAGATACGTGATCCGAAAACTTCAGAAATCCTTATGACCTCAACTTCGGGTCCCACGCACATAGTTTTTTTCTCCGTGTATGGAAGCCGCCTATTTCAATCCTAATTTAATTTTTGATCCTGGTGGATTACGAGAATCATCGTTGGCAAATCATAGGATAAGCCTATTCATATAGTTTTCACATCGTTGGAACCCCCCCCCCCCCTTCCAGTGTTTGAGAAGGTAGTGCAAGTTATTAAAATGAGGATTGCGATTAGTTTCTATTGCTTCTGTTTGAACTGATGCCTTCAGGTTTGGTTTTCCAACAGACGGGCAAAGTGGCGCCGACACCAAAGGATGAATCTGCTGAAGTCGCGGCGGGCCTCGGGGCAGGGCGGCTCGGGGGGTGGCGCGGGGGCGGGGGCCGGGGGGCCGACTCCCCCCTCGTGGCCCCGTAACATGGGCGGCGAAAACAGCGCCTTCAAAGCCCTCACCCCGCTCACCAACAGCGACACCGACCTCCACTACGCCTCATCGGAGGCCTCCGAGGAGATCAACGTAACCACCGACGACGAGTGCTCCAACAGCTCTCTCAACAAGCTCTCGACGACCTCCTCGAACGCCAACCTCCACGCGCAGAGCCAGCCCAAGGACTTCCTATTCGGGGCCCGGAGACCCGAGGGCGCCGGAGTAGGCGTGGGTGTTGGTGTGGGAGTGGGTGTGGGTGTGGGAGTGGGTGTGGGTGTAGGGGTCGGCGCCGAGCTGAGTCTTCCGGAGCAAGACGTGCGGACGACCATAGAGGCGTGGCGGGAAATGGCACTCCGGCACCAGGGCCTCGAGCCCTCCCTCCCTCTCCAGCTGACCAAACATCAAAGAGATCGGGTGCTATGAACTAGTCTCAACCCCTTGTTGTGCCTCTAGCGGGCGGACTATTGAAATTTATAGACAAAGCAGACATAAGGAGTATCGAGCGATCCTGTTGGTTGAAATGGGTGGATCTTATAGACTAAGGGGGTAAATGATGGACTAACTTTCGGGTCTCTCGTGGGTTGTCGTTAGTAAGTCTGTTACCTACGTCCTTTGTCCATTGCAACCACCCGCTTCCACCAATAGGATCTCTCCATATCCTTTTTGTCCTCTTTGTCTATTGCTTGTCTATTGCTCTATCTATTGCGGGCCAATTATTAAAATTTACAGACAAAGCTATAGACAAAGTTATAGACAAAGCAGACATAAGGAGTATCGAGCGATCCTATTGGTTGAAATGGGCGGTTCTTATAGACTAAGGGGGTAAATAACTATCGGGTCGCTCGTGGGTTGCCGTTAGTAAGTATATTACCTTCGTCCTTTGTCCATTACAACCGCCCGCTTCCACCAATAGGATCTCTCCATATTCTTTTTGTCTTCTTTGTCTATTGCTTAGTCTATCAGTTTCAATAATCAGCCCGCAGGGCAATCATCACTGTATTTTACACATCCCTCCACGCCATCTTCTCAATCCCACCATTTAGATATCACCTCACTGCCGTGCTAAGAAAGAACGCCGTATGAGCCTTCAGACATTGCCGAATTTCCTTCGATAAAAACTAAATTTACTGGGAAAATTGTAAATATTCATTTCCAAAATTTTTAGGCCATTTTGAACGCAATTTAATCTGAAATATCTGAAAATTTCAAGGGAAAATATGTCTAAATTGCGTCAAAAATGCATTTTTATCAAGGTAAATTTGGCAACTTTCGAATGTTCATACGACGTTCTTCCTCAGCACGGCAGTTCAGAGGCCGCACTCAAAAACGCCGCATGAGCACTCAGATATTGTTAAACTTTCTCTGACAGATTTTATATTTTAGGGGAAAGGAGGGGTGGCGATTTGGGCCATTTCCGGCCCCACCTAATCCGGGACTTTTTTTGCTGTGATTCGTTACGTATAAGTGTCAAGAGAAAGCATGCCAAGTTTCAGACCGATCGGCCCAATATTCGGGGGGCAGGGGCCCCCCGAATTTTTAAGCGCAAAATCGGTTTTAATTTTGTAGCGCCGTCAATTCCGCTCGTATAAAGATGAAAATTGGGTACCAGGGGTAAAATTTCGCGTTCTTTCCATTTCCGCCGTCAAAATTGGCACTGGGGCAAAATTAAGGGGGGTTTTGGGGGGGTTTCGCGTTTTTTCGCGTTTTTTACCAGTTTTCTGCGGTTTTCATGCTTTAAGTCAGAGATTTTGAGCCAAACGACCACAGATTTGATTTCTACGCAAAAAATTACATTGGAACCACATGGCCAACTAACACTCAACAGCGGATTTCTCTAGGAAAAACTGACCCATAAGTATGTGTCCACTCAGAAATTTTGAAAATAGCCATGTTTCGGGTACAGCCCAAGCTTGTAGCACTACCATTTTCACATATGATACGCTCTAGGTCGACCCTGTTGATATTATCGGGAACTTGAAATGCTACCCGCTTGGGCGGAGGGTCGAATCCTCCTCAGAAACGAATAAAAAAGGCGATAAAATTACGTTGCACGTGAATTGTTGCGATAGGAATGTTATTATATCGGCAACTTTCACCTCCAACTTATGTAATTTTTTGCGTGCTTTCCATTTCTGCCATGGAAATTGGCATTAAAGCAATTTTAAACGGGGTTTTTTTGGGGTTTTTTATCATTTTTTACCAGTTTTTTCCGGTCTTTTGCGGTTTTCATGTTTGAAACCTCACCAAATGAACCAAATGACAACAAATTTTAATTTTTCGCAAAATACATTTACTCTCACATCCATAAAATACGTCACGGATGAATCGTACAGCAGAAGAAATTGTTGTGTAAAATCCTTATCTCTCACTCTGAATCCTCGTCAGACCATAAGTAAGCAGCATCCTCTAGGCAGTCTCCATAAGAGGATGACAATCTTCGGGGCTCTTTTTCTTGATGTCGGTAAAAACCAAGAAACCACAGAACTGATGCCACATGAGCACAGCAGCCGACCATTCTTGCTCCCACTGGACACTGACAGTACCACTCCGAGATCCCGAACAGCGAGTACTTGATCCATAGGTTGTGAATCATCGATGCAGAATGACGGCTTTGGATTTGGACACGTAGTATATCCGAGCATTCTTTGTGAATCATCAATTCGTATAATCCACCTTCATCTTGATGCTCAGATGTGTATGATTGCGCTTGCTTCAACTGATATCTTCCGAAAGTCATGAATTCGATCTCTTCCACTGTCAATCTCGGGAAGTCTTCAAGTTCCCTTGCGTCCATCTTTTTCCAAATCACTCTTTTTTGGGACCAGTTCTCTCGGATGACTTGAGCCTGCAACTCGTTTCCACGTTTGGAAAGGGCTAACATTCTCTGGGCCTTAGTATGCGCGTCATGACTATCCAATATGCGGGGAGGCCTGAATGCATTGATAATGCTGCACACAATTCGTACGTAATCTCCAATAAATGGTATTTGGGAATTAGGCATTACATGCCCTAAGGCTTTGAAAGTTTTGAGGACTCCATTAGTAGCCTCAACAACCCATCTAACAGAAGTGACAAGCCTCGACTCATTTGCCTCGACTGCCGTATGCTGCTTTTGGTTATTTAAGAAGTGTGGCATTTTTACCACCAGACCCGAGTCCTCTAAAAAGCCAATGCAATCCCGGAATCCGCGATCCACAATTAACACATCTTTTTCAAGTAACCAGGCTCTCAGCCCATCCGAAACGTTTTTCATGTGTGATGTAATTATTGCAGCATCATTATTCTTTGCATCTGCAAAAAACGGCCCCATCACTTCCAAGATGTAGCCCGTTGTACTAACAAGCATCATGGGCTTAACAAGAGGGCGATGTTTGTGCATGGAGAAGGATCTGCGTTGGAACTTATAGTTAGAACTTTTCTCGATATACACGTAAGTTCCATCGGCAACTAGAATGGCAGTATCCTCGTCGTTTTGAGCGAAAAGTGACATAGCAAATGGTCGAGTATGCTTTTCGATTAATTCATCCCTGGACATGTGTCCAAATCCAAGATGTTTCGGCACAAATTCGATCATTAAGGCATTGCGAACGGAATGAATACATCTTTTTACAGTATCTTTTGTTAGAGCAAAAATACTACAAAGGACTGAGTAAGATAACCCCGTCCTAAGTTTGGTCAAGAAAACAGCTAGGGCGGTGCGTGCACTTCTATTGCACGACTCGTTTAAACGTGACACAATAATACTCAGAATAGAATCAAATTGTTCTGCAGTCACCCCCGTCAAATTCCAATAATCATTAGTGGACAACACACCCGGGGTATCAAAGTCGAGGCCTTTTTTGGCCACATAATGACGAAGCCCCTGAAGGAGCTCTTGCACTTCATTCCCGTTTAAAAAACAGGAGTCAGACATTTGCGGAATGCTTATGTCTGGTTTTAACACTCCTTTGTCTAAATGACTTGAGCAACATCGCGTTCCTCTCGGAATAAAAATTCCTTTATCCGAAAAAAACTTGCTCCTACCTTCAATAGGAATTACTTTTAATGATTTTTTTGAATTACCACAAACAATGCACTTTCTGTGAGAGGTAGCTGTGCACCCGATTTCCACTTTAACTTGCTCCGAATATGACGGCTCTTCATCTCTGCAAGTTCCAGGAAGAATAGAAGTGGACGATGACAGATTTTCACTACTAGAGGATCCGGCAGAATCAAAAGTGGAGACTGACTGCGTGGTTTTTAAAGATGAGCTCGCTATGGTCCCTTTCGATGCGTCCAAGAAACACTTCGCGCACACTTTCGTACTCCACTTCACCGACGAAGCTTTAAGCTTTAAATAGGATAACACTTCTCGACTGGAAATGGGTCTCAGTTTCTTTTTCTCGCCTCGACGACCGCAACAACCACATCGATGATGTCGCGTCATTTTCCGATCTCTCGAAAATACGCAAATAATACGAACGGACCGGAATATTGACGGTAACTGAATGCACTGATACAGTAAACACTATAATGAACTTACCTTTCAACGCATATCGGGAGTGCCTCCTGAAAATCTTATCTGTTCAGAATCATATCACTTGTACAATGCAAAACATGTCAACATGATTCGAATGGACCGCGCAAGAATGCATCCCAATCAGGCTATAAGTCCCGCAATTATCAAAAGAGTCGACCTGAGGCGTATTGTATATGAAAATGTTAGTGCTACAAGCTTGGGTTGCTCCCAAAACATGCCTATTCCCGAAAATGTCGAGTGAACACATATTTTTGGGTCAATTTTTATCTAGAAAAATCCGCTGATATGTAAGTTGGCCGTTATGACCCTATGCGATTTTTTACCTAAAATTAAAATTTGTTGTCTTTTGGTTCATTTGGTGAGGTTTCAAACATGAAAACCGCAAAAGACCGGAAAAAACTGGTAAAAAATGATAAAAAAACCCCGTTTAAAATTGCTTTAATGCCAATTTCCATGGCAGAAATGGAAAGCACGCAAAAAATTACATAAGTTGGAGGTGAAAGTTGCCGATATAATAACATTCCTATCGCAACAATTCACGTGCAACGTAATTTTATCGCCTTTTTTATTCGTTTCTGAGGAGGATTCGACCCTCCGCCCAAGCGGGTAGCATTTCAAGTTCCCGATAATATCAACAGGGTCGACCTAGAGCGTATCATATGTGAAAATGGTAGTGCTACAAGCTTGGGCTGTACCCGAAACATGGCTATTTTCAAAATTTCTGAGTGGACACATACTTATGGGTCAGTTTTTCCTAGAGAAATCCGCTGTTGAGTGTTAGTTGGCCATGTGGTTCCAATGTAATTTTTTGCGTAGAAATCAAATCTGTGGTCGTTTGGCTCAAAATCTCTGACTTAAAGCATGAAAACCGCAGAAAACTGGTAAAAAACGCGAAAAAACGCGAAACCCCCCCAAAACCCCCCTTAATTTTGCCCCAGTGCCAATTTTGACGGCGGAAATGGAAAGAACGCGAAATTTTACCCCTGGTACCCAATTTTCATCTTTATACGAGCGAAATTGACGGCGCTACAAAATTAAAACCGATTTTGCGCTTAAAAATTCGGGGGGCCCCTGCCCCCCGAATATTGGGCCGATCGGTCTGAAACTTGGCATGCTTTCTCTTGACACTTATACGTAACGAATCACAGCAAAAAAAGTCCCGGATTAGGTGGGGCCGGAAATGGCCCAAATCGCCACCCCTCCTTTGTAAGTATTTTTATTCAAATTTATCAGAGAATCGTGTCCGAACTTTCATCTGACGTGTCTAAAAATTTCAATGAAAAATATTAACAGCTTCCCTCAACAATAGGTTTTCTCTGCAAAAATTTTGAAACTTCGTAGATTCGTCTCGGAATGAACACCTTATTAACGTGCAATTAACAAACAGGCGGATTGCTGGGATTGTTTTGAAGTTCAAATTTTTCAACCCAACTTCACATCATGTAAGAATTTTAACTCACAAGAAAACAAGAATAATAATATAAAAAAAAATGGCAGTGCAATAAAATAGATCATATATAAAGGGTGTTAATTCCTAATTTTAGTTTAATTATGTATATATATTTCTCGGAGATAATCATTCGCGGGTGACACAATCTAAATTAATTTGTTCACATCTGTGAAAGTTTTTCGCTTATAGTATTATCATTTCACTCTGTGAGTACATAAATACTTTCGTAGATTTTCACTCTATACTTTGTTTTTTTTTCTCCCATCTTAATTAGCGTCACAAATTCTCGCCGTCGATTTCACAAATAAAAGAAGTTAATTTCAAATGTGCGTGAACAAGGGCTCTTTTAAATATAATTGTATCACATCACACCTTAACATTTTCAGAACCAATATATTTTTGTCTACATGTTTATCAGATCTCAAATGTATTGTACAACGACCAAGTTAAGTATTTTATCCTGATTTTCTAACTTGGTCGTTTCACCGTGATATTAGACAATTGTTCAAGGCAAAAAATCATTTTGTATATTCTGTGTATTATCATAGGTGTGAGTAATTACGTCACTGTAAATAAATCATATTTATTTTTGTATCTGTGCTAGTATCAATACTTGTCGATTTCATTAGTCTTCTTTATACGATGTATATTTATACATGAAGAGTCTTGCATAAAGTAAAGAATTTTTCTTTCTGTTGAACCCGGTCTTGTTTCTTCCTTTCTAGTTAGTCAAGGGGATTTATTACAACATGCTTCTTTAGCCCCTGCCTTCATAGTCCAAGGGCCAAACGATATTTATTGACAAAATCTTGACACAAGTTTTGACCAATTAAATTCGCTCTGACATGGAAAATGGTTTTCTGCCACGTATTGGCACAAGCTACAACGTAGAAGACAACAATTTTCCATGTCAGTGCGAATTTAAGTGGTCAAAAATTGTGTCACGAGTTAGTCACTAAATGTCGTCTGACTCACGGACCATAGCATAGAGTACAAAGAGTCGTAATGTAAATGGGAGAGCTGGGACCATGTCCTGAACGACGAGTTCCAAGCCCGACAAGCGCCGAGATTCGGTCACTTTTTCGATAAATTTTCGATTTATTTTCGATCTGACATGGCGATGTAGAATATGTGGTGATTTCTTTCCTCTTTGTTTACATTGAATGGCCGGGTCCCCGTATATCGCAAACAATCGATTATATATCGAAAAAGTGACCCGACGTGACCCAAGAGTCTTGGAATTCGGGACCTGGAAAATGCTTAAAAGTGGTCCCAGCCCTTACGACACACAGCCCTTGTGGTCACATTACGACTCTATATACATTATGGGCTAAAGCGACAAGTTCCTTGCTGTTTAAGGTTAAGTTTCCCAAGCTGTTTTACCTGTGATTATGATACACAAGAAGAAAATGTAATTTTAAACACTAATAATAATAAAAAAAGGAACAGCTGTTTGAAGGTGGCTGGATTCAAAAAATGAATTCCTGATTTTTCATTTCTGTCAACTTTTTAATCAGATACCGAATCTGATTTTTGGAAATTTCCAAAAAAATAAGATACTGGCCGATGTGCCAAAGCTGGAATATTAATGCTGCTAAACAAAACGATGTCGTCAAATGAGAACTAAACTATAAGGTCAATAATAAAGCTATTAATCGAGTTGTGAGTTGGAACCGACAAGTCAGCAATTCCAACTTTTGACGGAAACATGATACAATATGATTATGGCATCTTGCTGCCGTAATGAGAATATGGATTACAAGGATTTGAAATATCTTTAAAAGTCCTGCCAAGAAGAGCGATATTGATACATAAAAAACAGAATGTCTTTACTATGCTTATAATGGCCTCTACGCCCCAACTATCTTTCTTTTCGTCGTTAAAATGTTCCTTTTGGGGTGACAATATTCCGGTCCTAGCAACAATGCAGCATTGTGATTGGGATCGGAATGATTGTCACTCCGTAAGTGACATTGCAACAATGACTAGAAAATAAGGTAGGACCTGAAATCCACCTATGAGCATAGTAAGAGGAACACTTCTTGTGCCTTTGCGTAGAAATGAGTGAGTATACAAATATTATTTGTTTATTAAATGCAAAAATAACTCATGGTTCGTCGTCTCTCTCACAAAAACACGTAACTTCATTTCAATGTTGCCAAATTTCCCCTCGCAAATTGCACTTTAACGAAGGGAATTTTGGGAATCACTAATTGAGAACTTCACTGATATCTGAAGTTGAAGAAAGTTAACTTTCAACTTCCACTTCCACTTTCAACTCTGATCTGATACAAAAATAAGGAAATTTTCAACTAAAAAGTGCAGGTACATTCTTGTAAATAACTGAATGGTTTCGGTCAATTTTGCAACCTAGGTATGAAGTTACGCCCCTACGTGCCTACGTCCGAGAGACGACGATTTAAGGTACACCCGAGGAGAAGAAAAACTGAAGGTGTTAATATTCTGAGCACCACTGATAGAGACAAAGACAGAGGCACGAAGGACAAAAGAGGTTTGGCCGGGTGCGGACAAATTGACGGAGACGACAGTAAAATACTGATCCTCGCAAGGAGCTGGATCTATGAGGTGGAACTAAGAGAAGAAGACAAGAAGGTGATGCAACTAGGAAACGGCGGCGGCGCGGGGGAGACGGGGAAGATGCCAATTCGGACAGATTACCCGGCCCGAGGCTCCAGGACCGTCCGTATGAATGGGAGAAAAAAAAGGGAAAGAGGAGAAAAAGCTGGAGCCACTCCTTTGTCACAAAGTGGTGCATGCAGGAGAAGTTGTTTAATTGGTGACGATTCAATTGAATGAGAATCGCTTATCGGTTGTATGTTCACACTCGAACATTTCGAGCGTCATAAAACCCTCCTAATGGGCCAGAAAGCCGACCTTCCCGATGATGTCCGTTTCTATTTACATCTTAATAATGTACCCCGCT